AAGCCCGACTTGTATACGATCTTGATCGCACTCTAGTTGTCGTAATGTAACATGAAGGACCCGTTCATCGCCGTTTTTGTTTCCCGTAGGAGCTCTGAGAGGTAGAGTCCTTCGCGAATTTCTGCACATGCGGCGATAAATTTTGCTTCTGCTGACGAAAAGGGCGATGAGCTCCTGCTTCTGTGAGTTCAAGGAGATGGTTCCTGTAGGTTCAAGCTTGAAAATGAAGCCTGTGCGAGACCTCCTGTTGTCTACGTCCCCAGCACGGTCAGCATCTACGTAGCCGGTAAGCTGTAGAGTAGCCGTTAGATTCGCCTTGTAAATAAGGCCGACGTCGGGCGTAGAAACGAGATACTGTAAGGCGCATCGCAGGTCTGCCATGTTCTCCCCTTCAGGTCGACGCAGGTACTGGGCGAGCTGGTTGGCAATATAGGATAGGTCCGGGCGGCATGTGACGGCAGCAAATAGGAGACACCCGAGCTGCTGTTGGTAGAGACGGTGGTCGGCCGGAGAGAGCGGGGTGGTATCGGGCTCGTGGTTAGGCAGAGGAGCACGGAACGGGTTGGTGATGCCGACGGGAGCGATGCCAAACTTCTTAGCAAGGGTCTCAGCGTATTTTGCGGTGGAGAGGTGGATCGTATCAGCGTTCTGAGTGATGTTGAGGCTGAGGATTTGAGTGACATCGTGATCAATGGTCACTTCTAGCTTCTCCTTGATGTCATATTCGAAGCGATCGAGCAGCTAATTGTTGTCTTCGGTGTAAAGCATGTCATCCAGATAGGCGACAAACACGATGAAGCTACCGCGGGACTTGAGACGGTACATTCCCTGATCATGGGGAAGCTGCTGGAAACAGAGCTCGATTAGCACGGTGTGGAGGTACTGTTGCCACAGGCGTGGTGCCTGCTCGATGCCATCTAGGGATTTCTGGAAGAGGCAGGTGGCATCGCCGTCTTCCTCGAAAGCGTGCGGCTGCTCGACGTAGATGATGGTGTCGACGATCGCGTAGAGGAACGCGTTGGACACGTCAATTTTCTGCAGTGGGCGTTGTTTCACGCCTGCAACGCAGAGGAGACTGCGGACAGAGGTGTGTCGGCCGTCGAAAGCGAATGTCTTATCATATTCCACGAACTGAGTCTGCTCAAAGCCACAGATGACTCATTGTGCTTTGTACTTGTCAACAGTCCCATCCGCGAGAGTCTTGATCCTGAAAACCCACATTCCTACGAGGATTTTTCTCCCCTTTGCGTGTCGTCGCGGTACCAGCTTCCAAGTGCCACTGGAGTGCATTGACTTCGGCGGCCATGGCTGCTCTCCATTTCTCAGCATCAGGCCCACTGAGGGCCTGGCGAACGGTGGTGGGATCGACCAGTTGCTGGTTACCCCAAACGGCGACGGCGAGTCCGAGTATGCAAAGGCCTATGAGGTTGGATTCAGCTGTGCTGGTAACTTCAACCACGCGTCGTCGTCGCCAGGGATGTCGCGAATGGTGTCGGGAGAGGAAGTGCGAGCGAAGTCTTCGTCCATGGGTGGGTGCATTTCTGCACTTACGTAATCGTGCTATGCCTAAACTGCTTCGTGTTGATCCATTTCCGTTGGGGAGAATGTTGCTGTCCCGAATTCCTCCGTAACGAGTACGAAAGTTGCCCAGTTGCCTCGTTTGGCTGTTCTCCTGCCACGTCGACATTGTCCTCGTCATTTGCTTAGCTGTGTTGTCCTTGGAAAATGTTGTCTGTTGCCTAATGTGCAGTGCGGTGCTGTCGGTACAGTGGGAGGGTCAGTCTTTCGTAGAAGATGCAGACACGTGAATGTGTGAGCTGGTGGGTGGCAGAGTCGAGGATTGCCCAGGCGTGGTATTCGAATTCGATTCTGAGGAGAGTGCTCCACCGAGCGCGGTCTTCGAATTTTCATATCCGGGCAGTGTGGGGGCGGTACTGTACCATGCACCTGAAGACCCGCAGCATGTGTGCGTCGGGGTGTTTGCCGGTCCACTCCTTGAAAGGTGAGGAGTTGTTGAGCACTTGATAGGTGCCCAAAGCGTTGGTGCCAGATATCTCCGTCAGCACGATATCCCTTTGTGCACGTGTAGAGCTCTTTCTCACGTGCAAATATTGTTTTTGCGGTTTCCTTCCCAACTTTGTTCCGCACGTTCGTCGGGTACGGTAATTTGAACTGCCGCTGCTTGGAGTGTCGCGCCGTGGTATGCCCGCTGGTGTCGCCGATGGTAGAAATATCGATTGTCACGGGCAGCTTCAGTGGCCCTTTAGGAGGCGGAGGTGGGACTCGTGGACGACGATCATCCCGCTGCGTGACTTCTTCTTCTTCAAAGTCAGTGTCGCCGATCGCCGCTCCCCTTGTCTCGATGCGGAGGTAATCCCTACCGTCCGTTGTGATGGGAATAAGGTGAGGGCCGTACTCCGTCAGTGACTCTTCTTCCTCTGCTTTTGGTGCCTCCTCAGTGACTTCTGGTTCTTATGCTGCTTCTGCTTCCTTTGCTGTAGGTCCTTCAGTGACGTTTCCCCATCCAGTTTCAGCTGCGACAGCCTCTCCCAGCGCGGTGTTCTCCATGACCTAGCGTACGTCCACTGCGTCCTAGCCCTCAGTGGTGTTCCAGCCGGTTGAACGCGGGGCCAGATTCCTCGTGCAGCTTCCGTGTTTGCCGTTTCGGTTGTTGCAGCTACCGTTTTTGATATGATCTCTTCTCCTTCTTCCACCGCTTGTGGTTCTGTGTCCGCAGGATTCGTGGTCGAGGCGACGGGTACGGCAAGAGCGTGGAAGATTCCATCAAGGCCGTGTCGTTGATAATCGGTTTCTTCTGGATGGCTCCACCTTGGTGGTGACGGATGGCCGGGTGGATCAAGGACGGGGATGTGGTGGTTGTCGCCAGAGGTCTTGGGTGACTCGAAGTTGAGCACGGATACTCCTTCTACGCTTGTCCCTTTTCCAATAAAAATTCCGTAATATATTAAATGAAGCTCGTTTTTTGTTGTTTGTAGGCCGACTCCACATTTCATCAGCTGGTCGAGGGACAGAAGGTTGTACTGAAGCTCAGGCACAACGAGGATGTCACTGATGTGAATGCAGTAGCCAGTGTTGTAGGATTCCAGTTGGATCTGACCGCGGCTCCTGTCATAGATGGCCCGACTGTTGGCGACGGTGATTTCAACCTCGTTGAAGAGTTCTTCACTGTTGAGAATGAAGATGCTCGACGACACCATGTGCTGGCCGCAGCAACTATCCAGGTACCATTTGTTGACCTCCTTCTTTGCCTTGGCGGGGTTCGCGAGCTTCGGTGTGATGTGATGCTCCATGTCGTGTTCCCTTTTGTAATTGTTGTAACACCCTTCTTTCGCGTATGCGATGCGTGCAGGTGGCGACTCTTGGATCCAAGCTTGTCAAAGCCGGAGAGAACAAGGGGGTGGATCAGCGAGAGCAAGCACGATTTAAGTCCGTGGTGGGGAGCTTGCTTTATGCAGCAGTGCACACCAAGCCGGACATATCATTTGCGGTGGGGCAGTTGGCTAGGGTGGTGCAGAATCCTACGGAAGAGCAGGTGGATGCAGCTGATCAAATCATCCAGAACTACCCCACTGTTGGAGTTCAGTACTCTGCTATGGCACAAAGGAAGCAGAAGGGAGTAGAAGTTCTCAAGGAGAAGGGGGAGCATTTGGGAGAGAGGGAGCTGTTTCTTACAGGTTTTGCTGATGCATCATGGGCTTCAGAGAAAGAGGACATGTCTTCAGTAGGTGGATACCTGTGTGTGATTGGGGGAGGACCTGTGAGCTGGAGGTCGAAGAAGCAGGCTGAAACTGCAGGATCATCTGCTGAAGCTGAGTACATGTCAATGTACTGCGTGGCCAAGGAGCTGGTTTGGCTGTGCAAGCTGCTGGAGGAGATTGGGCATGAGCAGAAGACACCAACCCCACTCTTCTGTGACAATACCAGTGCCATCTCCATGGCCAAGAACGCGGTACTGCATGGGCTTACCAAGCACATGCGTATCAAGTGGCATTGGCTGCGCAAGGAAGTGCAGAGGGGAACCCTTGAGCCTCTCTACGTGAAAACGTAGCAGCAGCCGGCTGATTTCCTCACGAAGCGGCTGGCTGAGGAACCTCATTGGCACTGTGCTAAGCTAAGTGGCATGAGCCTTAACTAGGCTCATGAATGTGAGTGCAAGCAGGCGACTGCTTGAGGGGGAGTTTGTTTGGTACAAATATTTATTTTTGCACGTCAACCAGCCGCCTGCGTCGCATTTTGCTATTTGTGTGTGTGCGCATTTTTCATTTTCATTTTGTGAACGTTCAGTGCGCATTTGTTCTTGCGTGTTGTGTGTTTTGTTTTTATTCATAAGTGCATTTTGTGTTTTTGCATTTTAAGTTTCGTTTTCACTGTTCTCATGAAGCTCCCATGAAGCGCTCAAATGAGGCCCTCATGACGCGCTCAAATGAGACTCATGCAAAGCTCTCAAATGAGGCCCTCATGATGCACTCAAATGAGGCTCATGCGAAGCTCTCAAATGAGACTCATGCAAAGCCCTCAAATGAGGCTCAAATGAAGACCTTATGGAGCTCAAATGAAGCTCGCATGGGACTTAAATGTTTCATGCGAGGCTCATGCGAGCGACCATGAAAGTCCCATGAGTCTCGAATTTTCATGTGAGACTCTTGGAGCCTCATGTGAGCGGGTGGTGTACCGAGGGGTGCTCGGTTGTTTGACTGGTCAAGAGGTGCCTTGACTTTTCTCACGCTGGTCAAAAGCGCGGAATTCAAGACCCGATCGTGGGTCAAGGGGCGCGCGTGTGGGACACCTGATGCTCATTAGAACCCCTCCCGATTGCCTTGTGAACTGGGTCTGTAAGCTAAACCTGCATTTCCCGGGGCATTTGTGAATTTCGTCAGGCGTCTAGCGTGCTTCAAAACTGCACATGATAACCACCCAGTTTGTCTGATTCGCAACAGTAAGGGGTTGCAGCACTTGTCCCTGTTGTGTGTTTAGGGTTACTAAACGAACGCTACAGTACCGAAACAAGCATGCACAACAACAGTAGCGAGCCCGCTGATGAGCGTCCCGACATCGTCGATGTCTTCGTCGAGCTCGATGTCGGGGTAGGCGGCGGGGGTGGGCTCATCGTCGTGTACATTCGTCAGCTCCAAGAACCACGAGAGCGGCAGACACCCCGTGCGCCACCAGCACCGTTGAATGGTGCGCGCGCCGACGGAGGTCCACGCGTTCGACAGCCACGCGAGGACATCGCGCAATTTCGGGCAGAAACGCGCGACGGCGGAAGTCGCGCCGTCGCCGTTCCACAAAGCCAAGACATATCGCAGCCAATGCTGTCGGTAGCGGGCCTTTGCGGTGGCTATGATGCCTTGATCGAGCGGCTGTGTGAATGCGGTGGTATTCGGCGACAGGAAGACGAGCCGCACGTTGCTCATGCAGGTCGTCCGCATCCCGCAGATGATCTCGCTCCATGAGAGCTCAGAGCGGAGCATGTGGCTGCTCGCGTTGTCGAGCAGCACCACGATCTTGCGACCTTCGGCGTACATCGCAGCATTGAGCTGCGATATGAAATGTGTGAACAACTGCAGGGAGGGGAAGGGAGGGGAAGGCGGAATGTACATGGGAACATTGTAAGCACAAACACATTCCAGACAGGTGTGATATTACGCGTAATTTGTGCGAAGCATCAAGAACGCACGAACAATGAAACATGACGAGCTTACCGGCGAGGTCATCCAGCCTTTCGCGTTGTGCCGCCAGTAGCAAAGGGATTCAGGGTCATAATCCGGGCGGAAGTCACGCGGCCGCTTCGCCTTACTGATCACGAGCGGTCGGAATACGTGGCTCCCGTCAGCATTGACGAGGAATGCCACGGTGAGCCGCTCCTTCGATACTTTGCGGCCGGGAATGCGGCCGTTGCTGTAAGTGCGCCGAGGGAGGACTGACAGCCAGAGCGCCGTCTCATCGAGGTTGAAAGTGTCCCGCGGGGTGACACCGAGATGCGTGAGGAGTTGCGGCAGCTTCTCACGTGCGTGGCGCACGGCGGCCATGTCCGCGCTAGCCGCCTCGCCTTGTGCTGCACGGCACCTCATTCCCTGGCGCCTCAAAGCACGGCGCACCCAGCCGATGGAGTAGCGGAATGTGGGCGGAATGCCCATGTTCCGTGCCATCGTCGCAACATGGTCGCGGATGGTCTGCAGCGTCAGAGGCACGCCAGCGGGCCCTGCGTTTGCGATCCACCGCGCCATGGCCTGCTCCAGCTCAGGCCATGCGCCACCTCGACGGCACACTTGGTTGTTGCCGGTTGCCGTGACAGCCCATCGCTCGGCGCTCTTCAATATGCGGCCAACAGTGGAGCGATCCGGGCGCAATCCGTACTGCGAGTAACACCACCTCGCCAGGTCAACATGATGCAGGCGGGGGTTGTCGACGTGGTGCGCGCAAATAGCGCACTTGATATGGAGCGGGAGCTGCTCCCGACGATTAAAGCGGGGCATTGTGAGCGGCTGGGGTGTGAGAGAATGCTGACTTAGTGAATTAATTGTTCGAATTTTATCGTCACAGGTCGGGCGTGCTGGGCAAGGCTGGGGCCTGTTCTTTGTTGCATGTCACATTTGTGTGGTTGGTGTTCGTTCCATGCACCTGGCTTGCATTTTTGATCGTGTGGTTTGGTAACCATACCCTCGAATGTCTGACGTGGGGTGGGTGAACAACGCCTGGCTGGTAATGCGCTTGTACCTTGCAAGTCTCGAATTACACGTGGCAGCGTGAATCTGACCAAATGCCTGTTACACGCACGATGATCCTTGCTCAGGTGGCGGCCCAGATGGGCAAATGCATTCACAAAACCATAGTCGTTTCGTCCATTCATTTCGCCTCTTTGACTCCTGGCCTAGAAACAAGGCAAATGTGGGTCGGCATGGCTTGTTCGGGACTGCACGTGCATTGATGGCCGAGTCGCGTGTACTATTGCCAGCCACCCATGTGCTTGTACTGTGGGAGCAGCAAGCAGGGGTTTCCAGCTCGGGGGCAGCGTTTCCATCCGGTGCATGGCAATTTCGCGTGCACTGGTCGGGCATCATGTGGACCACAGAGCACACGCGTGTGCCGCGTACTGTTGCAAGCGTGCTGTACAGCACAAACGCAACAGAACAGAGCCCATTTCGGCCCTGTCCCGAACTGTACACGCGCATGATTTCGATCATGGCGCGCTGTACAGCACGACCGAGAAAAAATCTCGGTCGTGCGTGTGGCATGAGTGGTGCTCGGAAGTTACAGTTGAAAAACTGTTTTCCCAGTTGACTCACGGGACGGGAAATTTCTCGCGAAAGTCATTTCGCTTTGCGGAATCATTTGGACACAGGTGCAAATCAGTTACTCCGTTTTTCAAACATAAAAAACCGTTATACAACTGGGAGCTCGCATGAAGACATTCGAGCTACATTGGAGCAACATGCGAGCCTCATGAGTGTACACATTTGAGTCAGCAGGGGCGATTGCTACAAGTGCAATTTGAAGACAGTTTTTAACAACATCAGGATATAGCCAAATGCTCAAGGACTTGTGCAACTGTTTTCAAGATAAGCGTGGCGAAATCCTGCGAGCCAGTTAAACAACTGTTTTCTAGTTGCTCCTGCCTGTGCGTAGAATATATATAAATGTGTGCTTGTACCTATCGAAATTAATCCAATGCATTCGCATTTTTCCAAGCTCGCATTCTACTACTTCGTATTGACGAGAGTAGTAAGATTACCTTGGTGCTACCGAAATTCTCCTCGACCAGTTTGCTCGTCCTGCAAGCTGAGCAAGGCATAACTACTCACCTTCTATTTTGTACGCCCTTGGCTAGGAGGTGACAAGCTGTCACACTCAAAGGGTTGCAAGCAATGTTAAGTGTTGCGGAGTTAAGCTTGTAGTTCAAGCTTTATTTGCTTCCGCATAACGTTATAGCAGTCAACACGGTACTCAACCCCATTTCGCTCAACGGGGCGGTCAACTTCGCTGTCAGGGATGAACCGTCGCACGTAGTGTTAGAACATTATAGCTTATACTTTTGTGTAGGCTCTAGTGGGGTATCCCATAGGGGGTACAACCCAATTAGGGTTAGTACTTGTACCCACTTCATTCATAGTTCATTCATTCTCGTTTCTTCTCATGGTATCGAGCAGGTTCCCTTGTGGGAACTGATCCTAGGGCCCACCATCGATTTTTTTTTTCTGCCCCAAGCGCGCTCCGCCTAGGCCCGAGTCGCGCCTTGGGTCCTCTCTCTACTGTCGCGGCCTCCCTGAAGCCGCCCTTGCTCGGCCGTCGCCGCCCTTAGCGGCCCGTCGCCACCCTACGCGGCCCGCCCGCCGCCCTTTGGACGCCCGTCCCGGCCACGTGCACCGCCCGTCCCGTGCGCCGCCCGTCCCGTGCGCCGACCGTCCCGTGCGACGCGGCCCGTGCGCCGCTCGTCCCGGCCCCTCGCCGCCTGTACCGGCCCGCCGCCGCCCTACGCGGCCCGTGCCCCGCCTGTCCCGGCCAGTCGCCGCCCGACGCGGCCCGTGCGCCGCCTGTCCCGGCCCGTCGCCGCCCGACGCGGCCCGCGCACCGCCTGTCCCGGCCCGTCGCCGCCTGACGCGGCCCGCGCGCCGCCTGTCCCAGCCCGTCGCCGCCCGACGCGGACCGTGCGCAGCCTATCCCGGCCCGTCGCCGCCCGTCCCGTCGCCGCCCGACCCGTCGTCGCCTGTACCGGCCCGTCACCGCCCTTTGCGGCGTCACGTGCCGCCCTACCCTACCTGCGGCCCCGCCGCCCTACCTTAGCGGACCCGCCGCCTCACTCAGCGGCCTACCTGCGGCCCCGCCGCCTCGCTCTCGGCCCTGTCACCTGCTGCAGCGACGCCGCGCCGCCCTACAGCAGCACAACCGAGCCGCCCGGCAGCAGAGTAGCCGAGCCGCCCAGCAGCCGAGCCGCCCAGCAGCCGAGCCGCCCAGCAGCCGAGCTGCCCAGCAGCAGAACCGCCGAGCTGCTCAGCAGCCGAGCCGCCGGGCCGCCAAGCCGTCGAGTCGCCCAGCACCCGAGCCGCCGAGCAGCTGAGCCGCCGAGCCGCCCAGCAGCCGAGCCGCCGAGCCGCCCAGCAGCCGAGCCACCCTACTTCCGAGCCGCCCGACCTGCCCAGTCTGGTGAGCTCAGCGCCGTTTCACTGCACTGCCCTCACCCTACTATTTGCACTGCTAGTCGTCTAGGGTCATGGCTACCCCTAGTGTCCTCTCCTTTGACGCTGAGGGTCGGGCCATTGACTTTGAGGTCTGGGTAGATGACCTGCAGCTGTTCTTACAGTGCGATAGGGCAGACGGCCTCTCTCTCTTTGACCTCACCTCTGGTGCTTCCCCTGCCCCTGCAGCTGATGCTGACGCCACTGTTCGCTCCCAGTGGGCCACCCGCGACGCTGCTGCACGTCTTGCTGTGCGTCGCCACCTCCCTACCTCTGAGCGTGCGCACTTTAGTCAGTACAAGAGTGCTCAGACCTTGTACGACGCTGTAGTCGCGCGCTACTCCTCCCTTGCCACTACTGCACTGAGTCGTCTCATGCTACCGTACCTCTTTCCTGACCTTGCTGCCTTTCCCATAGTAGCTGACCTCATTACGCACCTCCGCACTAGGGACACTCGCTACCGTGCTGCACTTCCTGCTGACTTCTGCGCCAAGAACCCCCCCCCCCCCCCCCCCCATGTACATCACTCTCTACTACATAGTCACTCGCCTCCCTGACTCCCTTCGCGCTACTTCCGGCTGGTGGTTGACGACTACTCGCGTTACACCACAGTCTTCCCCTTGCGCAGCAAGGGTGATGTCACTAAGGTGTTGATCGACAAGATCCGCGCAGCTCGTCTCCAGCTAAGAGAGAGTTTCAGCTCGGACTTTCCTGTTCTGCGTCTGCACTCTGACAGAGGCAGAGAGTTCTCCTCTGGCCTTTTGTGAGCCTACTGTCGTGCACGAGGCATCCGCCAGACCTTCACGCTTCCAGACTCTTCACAGCAAAATGGGATTGCTGAGCGCTGCATTGACATGGTCATGGACGTCGCCTGTACGTCCATGATGCATGCGGCTGCCACTCATTTTCTGTGGCCGTTTGCAGTTCGGTACGCGGCACATCAGATCAACCTTCAGCCCAGGGTCTCCATGACGGAGACCTCCCCAGCTTTGCTGTGGACGGGGAAGGTTGGCGATGCGTCTGCGTTCCGTGTCTGGGGATCTCGAGCGTTTGTCCGCGACTTGTCTGCGGACAAGCTGTCCCCTCGTGCTACTCCCTGCGTCTTCCTTGGCTTCCCCCTTGACGCGCTAGAGTGGCAATTCTACCACCCCACCTCTCGCCGAGTTCTGTCCTCCCAGGACGTCACGTTTGATGAGTCAGTCCCCTACTACCGTCTTTTCTCCTACCGCACTCCGTAGCGCTCGTGACCCTGCCCACGGACGCGGGCTGGGCCCCACACGTCCATGTGAAGCGTCTGCAGCGGGGCCTCTGTCGGAGGAAACTGGGAGGAGTGAGGGGCAGCACGCTGCCGCCCCTCGACACAGGGGACGCAAGTAGGGGCAGGCCCCGGAGGAAGGGGAGGGAGGGACCGGGGAAGACCGGAGACAAGGACACGGGAGGCCATGCCTTAGAGACGAAGCATGGAGGGGTGACCAAGGCGGTGGTGCCAGAGGAGAGTCTCGTGAGACAGGAGGCGACATGAGCAGGGGGTAGACTCAGGACCAGACCTGGACGCTGCAGCAAACACCTGACCCGACGCAGCTGCCTGACCAGATGCAGTGACTGGAGGAGACTCAGTGGTCAAGGTGTACAGGCTCGACCCCGGCCGACGTGTAAATGTGGCCAAGTGTCGGCCCGTCCGAGCGTCCGTACAGTGGGTCACTCGCTGGCTCGCAGGAGTGAACTGGTGAACCCCCGCATTCTATAGGTCAGCACCACTCACCAATTTCGTAGAGAACGAGGGGAGGTAAAGACCAAACAGGGTGCCAGAAGGGGCCGCCGGACACGGGAGGACAGTGGAGAAGTGAGCAAGGACAGGACCCCCAGAGGGGTCTTCCAGAGAGACTGCAACTGGCCGACCAAGCGGCGTGAGTGTGGTGCGGTCTCGAAAGAAGGAGCGAGAAGCCCCCGAGTCAAGGGTGAAGGTGTGGGAGGCCGGAGCCGACGCAGTACCTGAGAGAGCAGACTCACTAGCACCTGAGGAAGCAAACGCACTGGCACCTAGAGCAGCAGCCTCGCTAGCACCTAGAGCAGCAGCCTCACCAGTACCTAGAGCAGCTGTCCCAATGCTCTGGTCGGGCGGATAACACCGGTAACAGCCCCCTTCATCACTTATAGTCACAGCATACATGGCAGCAAGAATAGCATCAAAGTCAAGGTCAAAGATAGCTACTCCCGCCCTAGACAGCTCGCCCCAGCGACGGATCTCAGTAGCCTCAGGGAACTGGTGACGCCAAACGTCCGTCAGGCGGCCAAAGCAGCGT